TGGTGTGCATGCACTCCAGAGGCCCTTGATCAGAGAATTTCATTCAGCGTCCATTCAGGCTGCACATGCACTGTTAGTATCCTCGTACCCTGCACTGAGGCCACAGGCACCGACTTTCCAAAGTGCTGGGGGTGCTCGACCCCCATCTCTGCCCAAGGCCCTGTGCCCACTCCACCCCTTCCCCCAAGGCTCCACCTCCACCCCATCTCTTCCTGCCCCCACTCAACCCCACCCCGCCTCTTCCCACCCAGTTCCACCCCTCCCGCAAGTGCGCCACATCCTCGCTCCTCCCCCCCTCCCTCCCAGCCTCCTGCACGTTGCAAAACAGCTGATTGCGGTGGGCGGAAGGCACAGGGAGGGAGGGAGAGGCCCTGAACCACAGGGCCTGCCGGCGGGCAGGAGCCACTAGGGAGGGGTGGGGGGAGCTAATAGGGAGGCTGCCAGTGGGTGCTCAGCACCCAACATTTTTTCCCCCATGGGTGCTATAGCCCCATGGAGTCGGCACCTATGACTGAGGCTGGATGAACCACCCCCTCACTTCCTTTTCAACTGCCTCAGCCTGAGATGGAGCTAGCGTGTCTGCTTCTTGCCTACCCCAGCAATTACGGCACTTCCCTTTAATTAATTAGTTAGCCAGGATTTGGTTTGTTTGCTTCTTTTTAAACTTTTTTGGTTATAGAGACTTGTTCTAGTCTCTCCAGGGAAATCCTCCTTGTGAAAAGAATGCCCAGTTCATCAGGATTGAAAAACTGCCTCTCGTGTAAAGAGGCCATCTCAGTCAATGACGGGCACTCCAAGTGCATTCGCTGCCTGGGCAAGTCACAAGTGCCACAGAAGTGCAATTTCTGTCTAGCCCTGAAATCTAGGCTTGGAAGAAGCAAGAAGTCTAACTTCAACTCCTTATGATGGAGTGTTCCATTTGTCCCACTTTGGAAACAGGTCAGAACCCCCTTGGACATCAGTCTCCAGGAGTTTCTAGAGCCGCTTCCAACTTGGCACAACACTCTCCTAGGAATGAGAAATCCTCAGAGTTCTCCTCCAAATCTTCTCAGAAGAGGAGATCTAGTTTCCTTCACAGTGATTCTCCCAGAGAAAGACCTTGATCTCCGGCCACATCTACAACCTCAGAGAGGTCTTCTTTGAGGCATGGGTAATGTAGAGGTGAAAGGCTCCTCTGCTACAGGTGAGGTAAGAAAACACCATGTTTCTAAGGGTAACCAGAGCTCTGGGAAAACACTTGTACTATTGGCTGGGGACAGCAGCAAGCACAGAAGATCGGTACTGTCGAGCATGACTCCACTCTCAGTGGCCTTACCAAGTGTTGCGTTAGCCTGTAAGCATTCAACCTCATTGGCACCTTCTACTAAGTGCCTTAAGCCTCCAGTACTGTTGGACAAGGGTGAACACCTGGTACCGTTACATCTGTCAATGCCACAGCACCATTTGGTACCACAGGATTTTAGAAATCAGGGAGAGTTGACCGTGTCTGCTGAACCAGTCTCCATTGCTGGCAGGTACCGAGAACCTCTTGGTCTTCAGATCCTTTTACATCCCCAGTACTGTCACCTTCCTTTTCTGTGGGAGCTCCTCCATTAGAAGAAAAGGAGGAGGACAATAACCTTCCCTCTGCTTTGTCCATTTCAGTGCAGGGTTCTCCAATACACCTTACACTAACTCCCTCTCCTGAAGGGCTGGGAAGATGCTCCGGGACTGTATCACTCCTGGTGGGAGCAACGTTGGATGCCACCCACCTTGCTCCTAATGGCCATACTGAGATTCCTGGAAAGCCTATCATAGGCAGTTCTCTAGGTCCCTGACCCTATCCCATCAGGACGATAGGGACACGTAAGCTTCTCTAGCAACAAGAGGAAGCATTTAATATAATCATAGGGTTAGAAGAGACTGCAAGGGTCATCTAGTCTAACCCCCTGTTAAGATGCAGGTTTTGTTGTATCTAAATTATCCAAGAAGAGATGGTTATCCAGCCTACTTTTGAAAATCTCCAGTGAAGGAGCTTTCATGACCTACCTAGGCAGTCTGTTCCATTGTCCTATTGTTCTTACAGTTAGGAAGTTTTTCCTGAAATTTAATCTAAACAGGAGGAACAGGAGACCAGGGTGAATGAAGAAGCTATGGCTCTAACCACAATCTTGTCCCTTTCACCAGTTGAGGCCCTGACGCTTCCTCCTCCATCAATGGCCGATGATTTTTGGCAGCCTCGTTAAATGGGTGGCGGATTCTCCCTTGAGGAGTCAGAGAACCCTAACACAAGCTTTTGGACATTCTGCACTTTGCCACACCATCTAGAGTTGCCCTCCCTGTTAATGAGGCTCTACTGGAACCCGCTAGGAGCATCTGGCAAACCCCGGCTATACTGACACCTACTTGTAAGAGGGCCAACAAAAAATATTATGTCCCCACCAAGGAATCTGAATTCCTCTTCTCTGACTCACCTGCAAATTCTCTGGTCATTGATGCAGTGAATGAGAGGGACAAACATTGTTATAAGTCCACCCCATGTGACAGAGACCAAAAGTGCCTGGGCCTCCTGGGAAGGAAGGCCTGCCAATTCATTGGCTATGCTGCAATTCTGCTTTGTGAATTACCAAGCACTGACAGCCAAGTACAACTTCCACAACTACATTAAATTTGGATCGTGTATTGAACATCTTCATCCAGATCAAAGTCAACAATTCCAGGCCACTATTGCTGAGGGACAGTTGCTGGAAAGAACATCATTGCAGACAGAGATTGATGCTGCAGACACCGTGGTCTGTTTAGTTTCTATGGTAGTGGTGATCTGTAGGGATTTCTGGCTACAACTTTCTTGCTTCCCATGGCATGTGGTTGAGGATCTCCCATTTGATGGATTGAAGTAGTTTGAAGCAGAGAACACTGAAGAGTCATTACATACCCTTATAGAATCCAGGGCTACATCACACGCATTAGGTATCTATACTCCTCCAAACTAATGGAAGTTCAGCATATTGCAAATGGCTCAAAGATGCCACCCTTTATGATTCTCTAGATTCCACAGAAAACCCCAGGAAGAGGCACAGGTTCGAGAGAAATAGATCCTCTAACGCATGTGATGCAACTTTGCAACAGGCATTGTCATCAGAGTACCAGTTTTGATGGAACAGTTAAGGATTCAAATTCCCCCACAACCCCCATTGTTAGCCTTCATTGTTTTGCCCAACTTCCCTCAATAGAAACCAATTCTCCCATTTCCAGCATGCATGGGAATGTATCACCTCAGACAAATGGGTGCTGGAGGTAATATCATCGGGTTACCCCATCCACTTTATCTCCCTCCCTTCTCCTCATCCATCTTCCCCATTCCTCTTCAGGGACCCCTTTCATGAGCTCTGCTGAAGCAGGAAATAAACACCCTTCTTTGTTTAGAAGCAATAGAACCAGTACCTGCTTAATATAGGGGAAAGACTTTCTATTCAAACTATTTCCTAAGACCGAAGAACAAAAGAGGGTGTGGCCAGAAGCTCAGGGTGGTGACCCTGGCAGCTATAATTCCTTATATTCAAGGGATTGGTTTTCAGCCCTCAACCTCCAGGGTGCATACTTCCATGTAGTGATACGCCTGTCTCACAAGAGATCCCTCCAATTTGTGGTGGACCAGGATCATTTTCAGTATCAGGTGCTATCCTTTGGCCTCTCCTCAGCTCCAAGACTTTTTCTCGAAGGTCCTATCAGTAGCGGCTTAGAGGGTCGATCCTATCAAGAGGTATTGTCCACCACAAGGACAGCACTTTCTTTTTTTTTGGACCTGGGCCTTCAGCTGAATATAGAAAAATCCACACGAACGCCTGTCCAGAACATACAATTCATAGGGTCATCCCTGGATTCTCTGACATCCAAGGCATTTCTTCCCATGACTGGGTTCTGGATATTATTGAGTCTTGTCAAAACGATTCAAGACAGCCCCCAGACCTCAGTCAGAAACTGCCTTCAGCTTCAGGGTCACATGGCTCCTTGTACATTTGTGACCAGGGCCAGTTCCAGGCACCAGCGCAGCAAGCAGGTGCTTGGGGCGACCAACGGAAAGGGGTGGCACGTCTGGCTCTTCGGCGGCAATTCGGCGGCAGGTCCCTTAGTCCCTCTCGGAGGGAAGGACCTGCTGCCGAATTGCCGCCGAAGAATGAAGCGGCGGCAGTAGAGCTGCGGCCGCTGATCGTGGCTTTTTTTTTTTCCGCTTGCGGAGGCAAAAACGCTGGAGCCGGCCATGTTTGTGACAGAGCAGGCGAGGATACACCTCTGCTGTTTCCAGGGGTGGCTTAGAATGGTTTACTTGCCAAACAGACACAGTCTAGACAAGCGAGTGTCAATTCCACAGTGAGTGAAGCCTTCTCTATATGGATGGAAGATTCATTGCAATGTAGGGGCGAGGGTTCCCTTTCTCCAACCACAAGAACCTCACAAAACCCTATTTTTGAACCAATTGCCCCTGCTCCTCATTAAAACAGCCTTTCTAGTAGTTATTACCTCAGCCTATAGAGTTAGAGAGACTGGGGCCTTAATGGCAGGACTCCCGACCCTTTCACAATGTTCCACAAGGGTAAGGTGTCCTTAAAACCACATCCCAGGTTTCTTCCTAAAGTAACTTCCAAATTTCACCTAAATCAGAGCACGCACCTACCAGTTTTCTTTCCAAACCTGCGTGCTTCCATCCTGGATACTGTTCTCCATACTCTAGATGTCAGGAGGGCGTTATCCCACTATCTGGATAGAACTAAGCCATTTCATAAATCCAATAGACTGTTTGTTTTGATTGCAGACAGGTCAAAGGGTTCTGCCATTTTTACCTAGAGATTCTCTAAATGGATTTCTGAGTATATTATAACTTGCTACCAGGCTATCAACATGGCACCCCTTATCAATATTTTGGTGCTCTCGACTAGAACACAATCTACATCTATGGTTCTCCTTAAAAATGTTCCCATTTCAGAAATCTGCAGAGCCACTACATGGTCTTTGGCACATACCTTCTCTAGACACTATGCCTTGGTTGATGCCTCTAGCTTTGATGCTGCAGTTGGCAACGCAGTTCTCTCTTCTCTGATGGACTGTTTAAAAATAGATATATAATATGGATCAGAGGATAAATTGTTCAAAAGGACACTATAAACATCTCAGAACTGTGGTCCCATTTTAAAACATTTTTATTTTGAATTTCTTGGACTGAAAATATATGTTTTATATTAAATGTGAGTTATTGCACAGGTTATAGTATACATACAGTGGTTTGTTTACTGTTGCTCTTTGTAGTAGGCATGCTTCTATATTTAAGTAAGTATATGTATATGCAAATAAAATGTAATCCAAGAAATTCTCACTGCTCACCTCCCCCACAAACAGACAAACAAAAAACCCTCTGGATTCTTCAAGAGGCCAAATTCTCCACAGGTTATAATAGGGCATACATCCATTGACTTCATATGACTTAGCCAAATGCACTGCTGATATAAAGAGGCACCACTATTGCAGTCAGTGAAGTTACACTGACTTATACCAGAGGTTAATGTGACCCCAAAACGTTTAAATAGGCCTGCTGTCATTATGTGGCAAACTGTAGATCTGCCACTGCTGGCAGTGGCCTTTAAACAATTTCTCACCTGACCCAAATTATTAAATGGTACTTTAAAAAAAATCCATCATGCAGGCACAATGTTACTTTAGAGCTCATCTTTTTTTTTAACCAGGCTTCACTGAAATAAGCAATACTGCATTTTAAAATACAAACATATTCCACCCTTTTCTCTTCCCTTCATGGATCAATCATACTGTGTGAGGAATTAGACACCTCACTCTCTTACTTGATGTTCCACTTCCAAAACTAGAAAAAAATACAACTGTACCTCATAGTCTATATACCTTTCTATTGATAATAGTATCTACATTGCTTACTTTGCTCAGTTGTTTGGACATAGTAGGCTCCATTGCTTTTTATGCTAATACTTTCATTCAATGTACTTAGCGCTCTCTGTCAGACATAGAATACTGCAGGAGCTCTATGAATCTAGACAAAAACTTTGTTAAAATGGAGTTAAGGATGAGAGCACTTACTAGTAATTTAGGGTAAAATACATTAGAGGGGTATGGTAAGTGTCCCAAAACCAAGCATCATAAATCTAACAAATTCAGAGTTGTTAAATCTAAATGTTACTGCAGGAAATGCAGTGTTAAGGCACTCAAACTCTGTAGTTACACCATCCAATAATGATATAAATCATAGGATATCAGGGCTGGCAGAGACCTCAGGAGGTCATCTAGTCCAACCCCCTGCTCAAAGCAGGACCAATCCCCAGACAGATTTTTGCCCCAGATCCCTAAGTGGCCCCCTCAAGGATTGAATTTATAACCCTGGGTTTAGCAGGCCAATGCTCAAACCACTGAGCTATCCCTCCCCCAGATGTCTTAAATGAAGACATTTTAGTGTTTATGGTCCCAGATTTGAGTAGATTACGCTAATTTTTAATAACATTTTTTCCTCATGTCACTGCACAGCCAACTCATTTAGAATTGCCCTCAACATTATTGGGTCCACAGTTCAAATCTTAAAAAGGCCATATTTAGATGCCCTTTTTCAGAAAGGCTACTGCCACCCATTATTCCTAGTAGGAGAGAAACCAAGGTGTCCTCCAATGCTGGCAGGAGGTGAAAAGAAACACTGTGAAGTAGATGAAAAGAGGCAGTGATCATCTTTGCATAGGAAAGACCGTGGCCTCAGTCCCATTGAGAACAAAGGGAGATGGCAGCCATTTTGAAAGAGGGCAGTTCTTCATGGCATTCTCTATAGAAGAATATTATTTGTCAACCTCAGCTGAAGAAGAAAATTTCATTTTTGAAGAATAATGAGAGGGAAATGTTTGTAAGGTGGTGGGTCCTCGGATGTAGCCTATGCACAAAATGTCTGTGGTTTTTAACTTTGGGAAGTTTGACAAGTCTGCATTATTCTGTTAAGATCACTGGAGCAAAAAAAGGCCTAATGCTGGGTACTAAATTCCTTAAAGGAGTCATTTAAAAAAATAATTTTATCTTGGACATTAATAAACAGATTAACTTTTAAATTTTCAGAAAATAAATTTGGTGCTCAAAGAGTAAGTCCTTTAACTTGGGAGACAATACACTGGGTTTTTCATACACAAAAAAGAGGTTGAATCCCTGCTTTAAGTGCAAAACTCAGCTCAACCTTAATTATGCTACTGGTGCCTCTATAAATACCATTTAAATAGATTGCAAAGTCTTTCAGTTTATATAAAGTGAAATGTTTCACACTTATTTCTCTCCTCTTTCTGCCATTCTGTCTTGTATTATGAGTGAGTTACAGTAATTGTTAATGGAAAAAATCATCCTGTTTAAAAAAAACCCACAGAATAAAACCTCAAAGTCTGGCTTATTTTTAAATCAGTAAAGCTTCTGTAATTTCTTGGCTGTCTAGCAGCTTCAGGGAGAAATCAAAGTACTAGCAGAGTAAGTGCAGTGTGGGAGGAGCTGAGCTGAAGAATAAATTAACTGTATTTCATTTCCCTTTAATAAAGAATTTCAGTTTTTCCATAGCTAACTATATAATCAGTTTGCTCCCCTGCTGGCTTGCTAACTTGCTGTTGGCTTTGCTTCAATAATACAAGCCTGTAATGAGGGAAACGGGAGGGTCTAATCACACTGAGGAGAAATAAGCAACTGTGATATAACAGGTAGTTTTAGCTGTGCAGAATTTTGCTGTGTCTTTTATTATTAAAGAGCCCAAATATGTTTCCCCCATGTCTGCTCCACTTTGCAGAATAAAAAGCAGTGTACTCCCCAAGTTTCATTAATCATTTTTCACTGATTGGGTGACACTAAATATTTAAATCCTTCTCTGTTTTCTGCAGCCTTGAGTTACCAGCATTTCCTCCCCCCTGAAGTTTTATCATTAAACTATGTAAGAAACTCCAGTAACAAGAATGCATTTCAAGTGTGGTTGCCTGCATGAGTAATATAACATAATTTTGTTTTTCTGCTATAAAATCGTTAGTCAGAGTATACTTTAATTGTGAAATTATCGTACCAGAAGTCTTGGAACGATTACAGAGACAATATATACTATAATAACTGCTGAGTTTGTTTTTCCTGCCTTTCCATGCCTAGAAATTATACCCTATATTATGGGTTTGTTCCCTAACTCACTTGTAATTCCACATTTTTTCAACACTTTGGATATACCAGACACAAGTTAAACATACAAGATAAAGAAAGATTATCTTTAGTCACACTATCACCAGACAAAAGGCTCTTCTGAGCAAGCAGTCCCTACCCCTTCATTTCTATTTCGACTCCTCATTCTAAATACTCTACTTTTAGTTGCAGATAATATGCTCGGCAGCAGTGTTTAAAAAGAAAATGGTTCTTGTCAAATGAAATGTAGCATAATTGTGGTGTTTTCAAAATTGAATGGGGGAAAAATCCACTTTTACCTAATGTTTTGGAATCTTTGCTGCCGAGGGGGGAGGGGGAATAATTGGGGGGGCTGGAAGGAGGTTAAAGTTCAAATTTAGTGTAATTTGGTCTCATTCTGAATTGCAGCCAGGTGATCAGCAGCATTCAGTGTAACAACAGGCAGATGAGGGAGGCTGGGCCAGTGTCAAGGAAGATTTGGAAGAAAAGTAAATAGCATTAACCAACACAGTGACTTATCTAATTGCTCTAAAACTTTTCTGCTAGTTATTAAATATATATCTTTATATTATAAATAAATATATGTAGTTAGATTTTTTAAAAGGACTATAAAACTAGTACCTTTCTGCTGCTCCCCATGTGCTTTCTGAATCATATGCTTAGCTTGGTGACAAAAAACAACATTTTGACTTCAAATGAGAAGTGCAAAGTCAATATAGCTGATTGAGTTCTGCATCATTAAGGAGTTTTCAGTGGCATTCTGATTTCAGAATATTCTGGTGGTGATGCATAAAGCAGAAATGACAAGACCTAATTTAAAGCTGTAGAGGTCACTTGCAGCATCAGCAGTTAGGAAAACCATCTTGTTTTGACTTGTAAACTGGGTGAAATTTGTTATGGATGCCAAATAGATCTGCAACGCAAAGGTATTGTTTTCCTGGGTTAATTTTCTGACCACGAACAAACCCAACACCATGTTTATTAACAAACGTAGACTTATCATGGCTGAATCTTTATCAATATTTGGAGCACTTTAAATATGACAGTGCAGCATGGATCATTTGCAGATTTAAACTAGTGTAAATGGTGGATTCTCTTTAATTTGAAATCTTTAAATCGTGATTTGAGAACATTAGTATCTCAGTCAGAGGTTAGGAGTCTATTACAGGAGTGGGTGGATGAGGTTCTGTGGCCTGCAATGTGCAGGAGGTCAGCCTATATGATCATGATGGTCCCTTCTGACCTTAAAGTCTATGAGTTTAAAACAGGGGTCGGCAACCTCTGGCACGCGGCCTGCCAGGGTAAGCACCCTGGTGGGCCTGGCTAGTTTGTTTACCTGCTGCGTCCGCAGGTTTGGCCGATCGCGGCTCCCACTGGTTGCGGTTCACTGCTCCAGGCCAATGGGGGTGGCAGGAAGCTGCAGCCAGCACATCCCTTGGCCCACACCGCTTCCCGCAGCCCCCATTGGCCTGGAACAGCGAACTACGGCACTTTTGGGGGTGCCTACCTGGACCCAGACTAGAAGGAGGCTAGTCTGTAAAAGAAGCTTGCTGGAACACCTCTGAGGGTGAGATTTCATCTGTAATCACTTTCTTACTGTATTAGGTTTAGACTTGTGTGATTTATTTTATTTTGTTTGGTAATTTACTTTGTTCTGTCTGTTATCACTTGGAAGCACTTAAATCCTACTTTTTGTATTTAATAAAATCACTTTTTACTTATTAATTAACCCAGAGTATGTATTAATACCTGGGGGGCAAACAGCTGTGCCTATCTCTCTATCAGTGTTATAGAAGGCAAACAATTTATGAGTTTACCCTGTCTAAGCTTTATACAGGGTAAAACGGATTTATTTGGGCTTTGGACCCCATTGGGAGCTGGGCATCTGAGTGTTGGAGACAGGAACACT